AAATCATGGAGACTGAACGGTATGCTATTAAGCAATGAATGGGTCAAGAATGAAATTAGGGAAGAAATCAAAAAGTTTCTGGAAACAAATGAAAATCATCTCACAACAACCCAAAACTTATGGGATACAGCCAAGGCAGTCCTGAGAGGGAAGTTTATAGCAATACAGGCCTACCTAAAGAAAACAGAAACATTTCAAACAAATGACCTTACTCTACGCCTGCAAGAACTCGAGGAACAACAACAAAACCAGCCCAAAGCAAGTAGAAGGAAGGAAATAACTAAGATCAGAGCAGAACTAAATGACATAGAGATTAAAAGTACAATTCTAAAGATCAATGAATCCAGGAGTTGGTTCTTTGAAAAAATAAACAAAATAGACAAGCCTTTAAGTAGGCTCATCAAGAAAAGAAGGGAACGGACACAAATAAACACAATCAGAAATGAAAGAGGAGAGATTACAACTGATACCACAGAAATAGAGAGGATTGTAAGAAATTACTATGAAGAACTGTATGCCAAGAAATTTGAGAACCTAGGGGAAATGGACACATTTCTAGAAAAATATAATCTCCCAAAACTCAATGAAAAAGAAGTAGAACAGCTGAATAGACCAATAACAGCAAAAGAAATTGAAGCAGTAATCAAAAAACTCCCATCACACAAAAGCCCTGGACCAGATGGATTCACAGGAGAATTCTACAAAGCATTTAAGGAAGAGCTAACCCCCATTCTTCACAGACTATTCAAAAAAATCCAAAAGGATGGAAAACTCCCTAACTCCTTTTATGAAGCCAGCATCATCCTAATTCCAAAACCAGATAGAGATACAACAAAGAAAGAAAACTTCAGGCCAATATCGCTGATGAACATAGACGCTAAAATCCTCAACAAAATATTAGCAAATCGCATCCAACAATATATCCAAAAGATTATACATCATGACCAAGTGGGATTCATCCCAGGGATGCAAGGATGGTTCAACATTCGCAAAACAGTAAATGTAATTCATCACATAAACAAAAGCAAAGACAAAAACCACATGATCATATCAATAGACGCAGAAAAGGTCTATTGATAAGGTCTTTCGATAAGGTACAACACCCATTTATGATAAAAACACTCAGCAAAATGGGAATAGAGGGAACATTCCTCAATATAATAAAGGCCATTTATGAGAGACCTACAGCCAATATCATACTCAATGGACAAAAACTAAAAGCTTTTCCGCTAATATCAGGAACAAGACAAGGATGTCCACTTTCACCACTTCTATTCAATGTAGTATTAGAAGTTTTGGCCACAGCGATCAGGCAGGAAAAGGAAATAAAAGGCATCCAAATAGGAAAGGAGGAAACAAAATTGTCACTGTTTGCAGATGACATGATAGTGTATATGGAAAATCCTATAGACTCTACCCAAAAACTGCTCAAACTAATTAATGAATTTGGCAAAACAGCAGGACACAAAGTCAATATCCAGAAATCAAAGGCATTTTTGTATACAAACAATGAATCAGCAGAAGCAGAAATCAAGGAAAAAATCCCATTCGATATAGCAAAAAGAAAAATAAAATATCTGGGAATAAACCTAACCAAAGAGGTAAAAGACCTGTATGTAGAAAACTACACAGCACTGAAGAAAGAAATCAGGGAAGACACAAACAAATGGAAACATATACCGTGTTCATGGATTGGAAGAATTAACATCATCAAAATGTCCATACTACCCAAAGCAATATACAGATTCAATGCAATACCTATTAAAGTACCAATGGCATATTTCACAGACATAGAACAAACACTTCAAAAATTTATATGGAATCATAAATGAGCCCGAATAGCAGCTGCTCTTTTGAGAAAGAAGAACAAAGTAGGAGGGATCACAATACCTGATATCAAACTGTATTACAAAGCCACTGTAATCAAAACAGCCTGGTACTGGCATAAAAACAGGCACATAGACCAATGGAATCAACCCAACCCTCTACAGTCAATTAATATTCGACAAAGGGGGCAGTAACATAAAATGGAGTAAAGATAGCCTCTTCAGCAAATGGTGTTGGGAGAACTGGACAGCTACATGCAAAAAAATGAAACTTGAGCACCAACTTACACCATACACCAAAATAAATTCAAGGTGGATAAAAGACTTAAATATAAGCCATGACACCATTAAAGTCCTAGAGGAGAACATTGGCAAGAAAATCTCAGATATTCCACGCAGCAACATTTTTACGGATATGTCCCCTAGAGCAAGGAATATAAAGGAAAGAATAAACAAATGGGATCTCATCAAAATAAAAAGCTTCTGCATGGCTAAAGAAAACAGTATTAAATTAAAAAGACAACCAACTGTATGGGAAAACATATTTGCCAATGATACCTCAGACAAAGGTTTAATCTCCAAAATATACAAAGAACTTACACGACTCCACTCTAGGAAGACATCGAACCCAATTAAAAAATGGGAAAAGGACTTGAACAGACACTTCTCCAAAGAGGACATACAGAATATCCAGAGACACATGAAGAGGTGCTCAATATCGTTAGCTATCAGAGAGATGCAAATTAAAACCACAATGAGATACCACTTTACACCAGTCAGGATGGCTATAATAGACAAAGCAACAAACAACAAATGTTGGAGAGGGTTGTAGGGAAAAGGGGACCTTAGTTCTGTTGGTGAAGTTGCAGACTCCAAAGAGGACATACAGAATATCCAGAGACACATGAAGAGGTGCTCAATATCGTTAGCTATCAGAGAGATGCAAATTAAAACCACAATGAGATACCACTTTACACCAGTCAGGATGGCTATAATAGACAAAGCAACAAACAACAAATGTTGGAGAGGTTGTGGGGAAAAGGGGACCTTAGTTCACTGTTGGTGGGATTGCAGACTGGTACAACCATTATGGAAAACAGTATGGAATTTTCTCAGAAAAATAAAAAATTGACCTGCCTTTTGACCCAGCAATTCCACTGCTAGGATTATACCCCAAGAATCCTAAAACATCAATTTCAAAGAACCTATGCACCACAATGTTCATAGCAGCACAATTTACAATAGCCAAGAGTTGGAAGCAACCTAGGTGCCCATCAGTAAATGAATGGATCAAAAAATTGTGGTACATATACACCATGGAATTCTATGCAGCAGAGAGAAAGAAGGAGCTACTACCTTTTGCAACAACATGGATGGAACTGGAAAGCATTATGCTGAGTGAAATAGGCCAGGCATTGAAGGACAAATACCATATGATCTCACCTTTGACAGGAAGCTAAAGAATAAAACAAACAAGCAAACAGAATAAAAACAAAGACACGGAAATAAAGAAGACACAATGTTCTGCCCTGGCTGGTGTGGCTCAAGGGACTGAGTGCCAACCTGCAAACCAAAGGACCACAGGTTTGATTCCCAATCAGGGCACATTCCTGTGCTGCAGGCCAGGTCCCCAGTGGGAGGCACCTGAGAGGCAACCACACACTGATGTTTCTCTTCCTCCCTTCCCCTCTGTCTAAAAATAAATAAATACCATGTTGTAAAGTGTTGTGGACTGCTCTGCCTGGTTCTAGGAATTGTAACTCTCTACCCCCTGTGGCTAAGAATGAGTCAGTGACCTCTGGAATGGGAGCCGCAGGAGACAAAGCTAGTCTCTGGTAGCAAACGCTGCCTCAGTTTCCCCTCCCTGCCCCCAGAGCTTGGTCAGAAGTCAATGAAGGGTAAGACCCCTCACAGCATTTGGGGGGGCAACCTAAGCCAGACTCGATCATTTGGGAGGACTTCATGGAAGGACTTGGGGGGCTGCAACAAAGAGGGAGCAATGGACTCTCGCCGGCCCCCCCCCACCCCCCCACCCCGCTCTGACAAAGCCCGAGTCCCCATGTTCTCTGGGAGAAGTGCTTCCTGGCTCTAATCCCCTTAAGCCTGAATACCTGTTGGGGAGAGGTACAGCTCCTTGCCTTGCTAGAGCGTGTCCTGGGGAAAATCTGGCATCACAAAGACTTCCTGATAAACCTGTGAAATCTGCTCTAAGAGTGCTTTCATTCATATGTTAAGGGTTCGAGCAGGGAACTCTAAAACTCTCTTCCAGACAGACTCTGACTCAGACTAAGCCCTCAGATTTCTTTGAAATGTTATCTACTGTTTGATCCTTGCCACCCTGTATTCCTGTGCATTACAACCCAATAAAAGCCCTTGGAGGAAGAGACTCAACGACGCCTTTTTCTCCTGAGAAACTGGCCACTGCTCAAGGCCTTTTTCCTCTGGGAAACTGGCCACCTCTCCTCCCCAAGCAGATCACATCATGTCTCAGTCATGTTTACTCTCACCCATGGCACAGGGGGGACTTGTGAGGAAAGTCGCCCCCACAGTAGAGACAAAATGGACTTAAGGCTTTCTAAGAATAAGAAGTTACATTCATTCTCACATGTGAGTGAAATCCCACACGAGTGATAAGTGAAATCAAGTGTGGAATATAAAATTGAAAGGAATGAATGAACAAGAAAAATAAACAAAAACCCACAGACACACACACACACACACACAGCACAGTGGTTACCAGAGGAAAAGGTGTGAGGTATCGTAAAGGGTAAAGGGGGTCAAATACATGGAGACAGAAGATCTGACTTTGGGTAGTGGACGGAAAGTGCAATATAAGGATCATGTATCATAAAAATGTACACTTGGAAACTATATAATCTTAGTAATCAATGACAGCCCAATAAATTTTAAAAATATAAAAATAAATAAATATTTATTCTTAAATAAATATTTAAAATAAAGACTATTTAAAATAAAAATATTTTATAAGTCACCTTCTTATACAGTATTTTATTATGATAGTGCTCATTACTCATTTGATCCATTTTCGCTTATTCAAAATAAAATCTTACAACTGCCCCGCCCCAACACCTCACAAGCATCAAATATGAACTCCGAGCACCAAAAGCAAGTACTTTCACTTCTGACCAAGGGTCTTACTTTAAAAACACCCACCTGTTTGAAATCTTTATACATAATCTTTCCAAGTTCAGGCTTTAATGTTGTAACTAAAAGAAAAAAGCAACAGTAAGTTAAGGCTAGAATAAAGACTGGTACTCTCAAAACTGTTTTAGCATTATGTATAAAATAAACATTTCTTTTGTGATTAATTCAGACTATGTTCTCATTTATTAAATGGAAGGTACAATTATCTTTGCTATTATACCTGGAAAAAGACCATGAAGATTTTTATAATAGTCATAGTCTAACCTAATAAATGGGCCCCCAAATTCCTCTGTCATCCCTGAGGAATCATGGGGAGCAGGGCGCAGAATTTAGGCTTCTGTCACTCGGTCTGGTCTAGTCCCGTCGCATCCAGTTTTCCTCAAGCCTCACCAATCCTGCACTAGTTTCCTTCCTGTGACTTTTTGCTTTTCTTCCTCTTTCCTTCTCAACAGTACCCTGTATTATAGCAATACATACTGGCCTAATTTATAGCAGTTAGTTAAAATGAACTCTACTTTATCAGAGTCTAATTTTAAAGTGGCTTAACTTTATTTTCCAGGTTAATGTCATTTTGCACCTTGTTCTTTAACAATGGCAGAGGTCCTATCACATTCATTCACTGTTCTTGGTTTAAGCTTCCATTTTATCTCATCTCACTGCTACAACAGCCTACTAACTATTCTTCCCATACCCACTCATGCCCCACACCAATCCATTTTCTATATTATATGCAGAAATCTTTTTAAAGTGAATACAATCATTTTTATCCCTTGTTTAACAGGCTACCAACTGCTCTTAAGACATAAGGATCAAATAGAGCCTACATGTCAATAAGATGCAATGGCTACCTACTCCCGGGCCTCACCCCATTTCCCTCCTTTCCTGACCACATGTTCTCTAGATAAATCCACTGCCTGCCACTAGAAGGCCTTTGTGTGCCTGCTATTTCCTCTCACTGAAAGACCCTTCAACTCTACCATGTCACTGATTAACTCACATTTATCCTCTGAACCTCAGTCCCGCATCACACTTCCACAAAAAAAGTCCAAAGCAATGACCTACACTCTTTCATAGAACCATATTGTATTTCCTTGCATTCACTGGAGAGCTACATGCCTTCCCCCTTTTTTTGAGAATAGTTTGTATTCTCAATAAAAGTCAGGATATATATGTTTCTGCTTACCAGACTTTGTAGCTCTAGAACCTAGTACAGATCCCAGAATATACTTGCTATATTTTTGAGTGAAAGAATTCATGTCTGCCTTCCTAGTATTTACCACTGTGCTTGATAAAGGATGGGTGCTCAGAAAATTCTACCTAAAATAAATGATTATGCACCAGGCAAGTACATGCAACGAAGTAAGTAATAAGTACTAGAAACTTTGCTGAGGGGTATAGAGGTTTCAGATTAATGGGAAGAGCACCTACTCTGCCAAGAGTTTTCAAACGAAGGCTACCCTCAGAGTTGTCATATATTCACACTAAAAGATTAGTCTTTAAAAACTAACCACCACACATTAAAATAAAAATAAATTATACTTACATGCATAATCTGCAATTGCAGGTTTCGCGTGAGAAATCTGACTTAGCAAAGAGGATTTTCCGGCATTTGGGAATCTGAAATGACAAAATGTACGCATCACAGCAAATACCAGTACTATTAAAACTTACTTATCGCTGAATTCTAAACATTTTAAGAAGCAAACTTCTTGGGTATTTCTGGAATTAAAATAGAGTATAAATTTAAAGTAGTTTTGAAAAACTTGAACAAAATATACTCATGAAATAGGTGAAGGTAAACTCATGCTGCCCTGACCGGTGTGGCACAGTAAGTTGGGCCTTGTCCCACAACGTGAAAGGTTGCGGGTCTGATTCCTGGTCAGGGCACATGCCTGGGTTGCCGTTAGGGGCATGGGCAAAAGGCAACCAACCCATGTTTCTCTTGCACATCGGCAGTACAGCATATTAGCTATATACCTTTCTTCTGAGGTTCAATTCTGACATCAGCTCTGACAACAGCAGTAGTGTTTTAGTCAAGTATCTTTCTTTTAAGATTCAGTTCATTCCTGAAACCAGCTAAAAAAAAATCTGCTTATGCTGGTATTCACATTTAGTAACTTTTAAAGAATAGCTGCCTAATTTAAAAGCACTGGAGACATGTTAAACATTATGCTTAAGAACTACGATGTGTTAATTACTGACTGTAATTTCAAGCCCATTTCTGAAAAGCTCAAGTGTTTCACTACAGTTGTGTCTAGTAAGTTGGCAACATAAGGACTGTGACAGCAGCTACCACTCATTCACGGAGCATTCGTAAATCCAAGGCGTGTGTTGTGCTGCAAATGCAGTATCTTACCGACATTTTAAAGTGAGGACTCTCCACTCACTATTAAAGATGAGTAAATAAAAACTTAGAGAAACTGTATAACATATCTAAGACTAGCCAGCTGGCCTCCCAAGGATTTGAGATTCTAACCCAAATAGTCTCACTTGAGTTCTCCACCACCACCCAACTTTTACTACTCAGCCTTGCGAGGGTCTTCTTAGCCTGAAAAGGATTCTCAGCCTTATCCATAAAACCCTATTAAACCAATAATATTTGAAAAATATGTTATTACAGAACCTATTACTCATAAATGTCATAACTATGTTTTATTGGGAATAAAAAAAAACATGCGAGTGGCACACTTGGAAGCCAGGATGACATCCTTCCTTGTCACAACCTCAGCAGGAATGGGACCTCTGTGAACCCCAAGTGACCACCTTAAGACCTAGACAGGCACGGCAAGGGTGAGGGGCGGAGGGTGAGGGGCGGAGACTGAAGAGTCTGGTACAGAAGCAGTGAGATGGATGGGGAGGAAGATGAGAAGAGCTTAGAAAGAACTTATGGGAAGGCAAGGCATGGAATGGCAGTTTGGTACTCAGTTTGGCAGCAGTTTCCCTTACATCTAATCTCCCTTAGGCCTTCAGTCTGCCTACTGTGTAACGCTGTAGGGGGCCAGGGAGAGGAAGAGAGAGGAGAGGAGAAATGCAAAGTTGTAGTTTTCTCTCCCCTTATCCACTCTCCATCATGCTATCTAGCTCTCTCCAGTTGGCTGGGTGCCAGCACTGCAAACGCAAAGCTAAACAGCTTTGTTTCATGAAAAAGTGGGGGCTCACGGAAGAGGACATTGTAAGGTTGCCCACCGTACTGAGCATGGACAGATCCCAAGCAGAGCACAAAGGGTAGGGAAGCAGGTACGGCAAGACCCAACGTGGTGCTCAAGAGTGTGTAAGTCTGAGGGGCTGAGATCGTCTGTGCTGGCCTTGAGCCACCTGATTAATGATACATCAATAGCTCTATTAATACCTATAAGCATATCTTGACCATTTGTCCCTTCTATTTATCTCCTTGAATATACTTTTCAAAACATGGTTTTTCTCAGATTTCTTATTTTATTCCTTAATATCTGGTAACATCCTTTTACCTTCTTATATTATTGGATCAGGTTAGCCTTTTTCTTTATTTTCTAACATTTCACTGACCTACTCAATTGCTATGACCACTGGCAAATGAATATGAAGTAAATATGAAACTCTTTGCTGACATTGTGAAAATAACATTTAACAGCATTGTCTCTAAGTATACAATCATGCACAAATTCCATAAACTAGAAATAATGTTGGCACAAATTACTATTTATATTTATTTCCTATTTGTGAACTCTCTGGAAGTATAAAAATAAACATATTTATGTTTATTTAAACATATGAATGATACTTACCCTACTAGACCTACATCAGCTATGAGTTTCAGGTCAAGGTGAATTATTCGTTTCTGGCCTTTCAATGGTAAGAAATTTGTAAGGAATTTACCACCAAGACCTCCTTCCGCTACCAAAACTCTGTCTTTCTCTTTATCGAGTTCTCCTTAAAAAGAGAGATAAAGATACTCAGAGCCAAGATTAGTAGGTAGAGTTATTCACTAATGACATTTTTCTTTCAAAATAGATGCCAAAAGTTTCTATTGAAAGCTTGTCCCTGGAAAAACCTTGTAAGTGGTTGAGAGACTAGTTTATGTTTTAAAACCAAGTAAATAATATTTTAAAAATCTTAAATCTAGCAGTTAATATTGGAATACCTTTATAGAAGATTTTTAAAAGTTCTTTTATAAATTAGCAGCTGAAATAGTTAACATTTCTAAAAAAAATCTGAAACTACTCAAGAAGTACTATTCCCCACAGCTCCCAAACAATTTAGAAAATATGCATATTTTTCACAACCTTAGGACCTACAGTATACTTGCCTATGATTTTACCATTTTCATCAGTTACTGAAATACCCACAGGTACAGGAATTTCACAGTCTTTTCCTTTGGAGCCTCTCAGTGCACTAACCCTACAAAAAATAAAGCTACATTAAAATAACAAAACCCCACAAAATTAAATGGCTTATGCTTCAAGCAAACATAATGGTCTATAGAGAGGACTATCAACCAACTCTTCTAATGTAGATGTTACATGGCCAAATATTAGAGCAAAAATAAAATTATTTCTAATTATTTGTACTTTAGACCATCATATCCCAATAAAAATAATATTAAGTAATGATTTAAGTTATCAAGCTAACCACAAAAAGTCACTGGGAAAAGTTTTCAATTAGCAATAATTGTGCCTCGGATAAAATTGGCTACGATACTGCCACTGCTCGAAGCTACCACCAAAGACATTGCAAATTATAATGAACTAACATACTGTACACCTGAAACGAAGAGATGATCAGTAACTAGAAAAAAATAAAAAATCAATGGAATAACAAAGCTTTAAAAAAACTGACCTCCAATGAGAGCACTTTAATTACAGGGGGCTCATCTGGCTACTCTCAAATGGCTCACGAGAGAGTAAATTGGTACAAACTTCTAACTAGCAAATTCACTTCTGGGAATTTATCCTGAAAGAAAATAACTGAACCACCAGGTAAACTAGGATATACACATGGATGTGTGTTGCACTGTTGACTGTAACAGTAAAATATCAATTACTACCTAAACAGATGAGTGACAACATAAAGTTATTTCCAATACTATGCAGCCATTTTGAACAATCTTCTGGCACAGAAAGAAGTTAAGTAAAAAGAGAAACCTACAAAATACTGTCCTCTCAGTTTTGTGCCCCCAAACTATACACAGACACAATTAAGTTTGTGTAAACACACAGAAGAGTCTAAGAAAAGTCAAGAAAAGGTTAATTGTGACTATTTTAGAAATTATAGGTGGCTGACCTTTTCTAAAACCTTTTACTCCTGGCCTCCATGAGTAGGTCAGAATCCCCACACATGTGTAGGCTCTCATCATTTTCCATTTGTTGTGAATTAGATTAATGTCTACTCTCCCACTTCTCTACAGTAACTTCCAGAAGGGCAGGGAATACATTAGTTTAGATCATCACTGTATCCTAGGCATGTAGTACAATGATTAGTACATAGTAGATACTCAATATTAGTTGAATGAATGACCTGGACTGACAGAAATGGATGACTTAAAATTATACTAAAGAGAGATTTAAATAGAACATTTCTCTTACTGGGACGTGTGTTGCAATTCTTAGAATGTAGAGGCAAGATTTAATTTTCATTCTTTTTTGTTACTAGTGGTGAGCTTTCTATTAAAATATTATTTTATTTATTTTTTATTTTTTTAAAGATTTTATTTATTTATCTTTAGAGGGGAAGGGAAGGAGAGAGGGAGAGGATCATCAATGTATGGTTGACTCTTGCATGTCCCCTGCTGGGAACTGGCCTGCAGGGAACCAGCCTGCAACCTAGGCATGTGCCCTGACTGGGAATCGAACCGCGATTGTCTGGTTCGCAGGCCCGCGCTCAATCTACTGAGCTACACCAGCCAGGCCTAAAATATTATTTTATTTAAAACATTTACACTTAAGCCCTGGCTGGCACAGCTCAGAGGACTGAGCGTAGGCCTGTGAACCAAAGGATCGCAGTTCGATTCCCAGTCAGGGCACATGCCTGGGTTGCAGGCTAGTTCCCAGCAGGGGACACATGAGAGGCAGCCATACACTGGTATTTCTCTCCTTCTCTCCTTCCCTTCCCCTCTAAAGATAAATAAATATAATATTAAAAAAATTAAAACATTTACACTTAAATTTCAAAAGAAATTTGGATAGTTTTTAAAATGTTTTTATTGATTTAGAGAGAGAAGAAAGGACAGAAAAACATCAGTCTGTTGTTCCACTGATTCATGCACTCACTAGTTGACTCCTGTACGTGGCCGGACAGGGGACAGAAGCTGCAACCTGGATGCACTGAAACAGTGCTCGAACCAACTGAGCCACCGGCCAGGGCTGGAACTCTGGGTAGTTTTTAAATTGCTGAAACAGTATTTGATAATTTGCATAGTTCAGCAAGTATAAGCCAGTTTACTAGGTGATGATTTCATGAAGAACAAAAGCAATCTGATTTTTACTGGACATTATTAGATATCTAAAGTTAAAAGCTTACTCAAATACTGGTATTTTGAAAGTAGTGCTTAAACCAAGTCTTAAAAAGCCAATAGGACTTTGCCAGATAGTCAAGGCAGGAAAAGATGTGTTGGCACACTGAATATACCTATGTATATCTAAATATGTGTGTGTATGTATATGTGTGTGTATGTATATATATACTGGGATGTGCATTGCAATTTTTATGTATGTGTGTATACACCCATACACACACGTGTATGTATAAACACACACACGCAAATACCGTAGATTAGAAGGGAGCAAGCTGTTTGAAGAAATAAGTTATTTCTAGTGAACACGGGTACAAGTGGGGTGGCATGTTGTGAAGAATTTGAAATAGGCGAGTGATTATGTTTCAGTTTAAGATGAGATTATATGGTATTTGTCCCTTAATTCTAATCAACAAAAGAAAAAAGCAAACAAAATATAACAAAATCATTAAAATTAAGAACAATCTAACAATAGCCAGAGGGGAGGAGGGAGGGGGAGGGGACAGTGGGGAGAAGGGGTTTCAGGAACTACTATAAAGGACACATGGACAAAATCAAGGGGGAGGGTGGAAACAAGGGAGGGAGGTGGGTTTGGAGGGGATGGGTGGAGAGAAAATACAAACAACTAATTTAAACTGAACTACAGAATAATTTTAATTAATTAATTAAATAATAGGCGAGTGACATTAATCAGTGGGTGTTTTAGAAAATCCCCTCTAGAAATAATAGAATAAAGATGGACTGAGGGTGATGACTGAGACTGGGGTCAGCAGACCAAATCGGACAACACTGCAATACTCCAGAACAATGATGGTCTGAATGAAAGTCTGGCCTGTACCTGTCTTTGTAGTCTCACCTTCCTCGCTGTTCCGAGTCTTCTGCATCCCAGCCACACTGGCCGCCTTTCAGGGCCTCAGAAGGGTACTTGTCTTCTATCACTGGGCCTTTCTTCCTGTTACCTTTCCTGTAATGCTTTCACTCCCCTTCACCCAGTTGGCTCCTATTCATTCTTTAGATTTAGGCCTGTCTATTCTAAAAATCGCAACACACAACCCCAGTAAGAAATATGTTCTATTTAAATATTTCTGAACATTTAAACATTGTATACCATCTTTAGTATACCACTGATTTGAACACAGAACAGGGCTGGAATTATAGCAATTTTATTTTTCAAAAGAAATTATAAAATGGTAAGAATATTTACTTTAGGATGTAAAGTACTGTTAATTCCCATCTGTAACATCAAAATAATAAAGTAATATTCAATACTCAAAACTGATTACTGAATTCTAACAAATATAAGGCTCTCAAAATTTGTGTTATAAAATGGTTTTGCCCAGGCTGGTGTGGTTCAGTTGGGTGGAGTGTCATCCAGCAAACTGAAAGGTCACAGGTTCAATTCCTAGTCAGGGCTCAGGCCTAGGTTTCAGATTCAGTCCCTGGTTGGGGCGTGTACAGGAGGCATCTGATCCATGTTTCTCTCTCTCCCTCCCTTCCCCTCTTAAGAATCAGTAAGCATGTCTTCGGTGAGGATAAAAAAAGTTTCAGATTCGTCATAAACAAAAGTGCTCAAAAGAAATTTAAGGGGTTTCCCTAAGGAGACATTTACAAGCAGGTGATGCTGCTGCATCATTTTGGGCAGGATAATTTGTTGTTGTTTTGTTGTTGGGAGTGTCTGTGTTACAGGCTGTTTAGTATCCCAGCCTCTATCCTTCGCATATACTCGTCCCCCAAGCAAGTGTCACATTCCATCATCTGACATTGTGACAAATACATCTATCGAAACACTTCTGTGGGGGCCTTTGCCGGGTAGCTCAGCTGGTTAGAGCACTGTCCCCAAACACCGAGGTTGTCACCCCGGTCAGGGCACAGACCAGAACCAACCAACGAACGCATAAGTAAGTGGCACAACAACGAGGTGTTCTGCTCCCTCTCCCTTCCTCTCTAAATCGGACTGATTCTTTTTTCTTGTTTTTTGTTTGTTTTTAAATACTTCTTTAGGAAGAAAAAAAAAGAGGGACATGACATGTAGCCTTTATACTACTACCTCCTATGGAATAACAGAGTGAGGTAGGTCTGAGGAATCACAGCAGGCGTTTTGATGGAAACTAAAAATTTTTTTCTTCATTTTCTTGAGAACAAACAAAAAATTCTCATATTTTGAGGCCAACATAGTCTATTCCGCAGAGAACAACAAAATTTAGTGAAAAATAAAGGCAAGGTTTTGCTCTTATAGAAAGAACAGAACAGAAGCAAAGGGAAAACACACAAAAGATGTATCACTGAAATGGGTTCTAAATGTTCAGCACCGCCTATGAGATGCACAGAACTACTGGTGGTGACGAGGTGGTGTAGCTCATTTGAGATTTGAGAGAGGTTTCTTACGGACTATCAAAGATAAGAAGAAACCGGTGGGAATTCAGATCACTTTCTGTTTCTAGAGGAAGTACAAAAGAATCTAAACAGAAATTGGGAGAAGAAAAAGATAAAACGTTGGAAAGCTCCAAAACATTTCTTAAACCTACCTTTTACCTTTACTAGAGTTGAGACAAACATAGGTAGATTTTTGCTCAGTTACAAATATAATATGTAATTTAAATCAAATTACTAATTACACCTTTATCTTTTAACTGTTTTTCTTCTGGGAGGGATTACTTTTATAAAATCAATTCATTCAGTAAATACTCACCGACTGTTGGCTCCTTCTCCAGCCACAAACCGCTTATGAGGATATTTGTCTTTAAGTTGTTTTAAAGTCATTTTCTTATGGGCTACAACCCAGACGTCACCACCTTTTCCACCTTCTCCACCTAAACGAGGATAGCCCATTCCACCACTTCCTCCCCTGGTGAAGAGTCTTAGGTTATCAACGAAGTTCCCATACTTAAAAAGAGAGGGAGAGAAAGAGAACATCTGTACACTGAATGTGCTTACCGATTTAGAACTCCTTTCTAGTTCTCTGTTGCCACTAAAATGCCTCGAGAAGTCAGTAGTGACTTCCTGTATGTCAAATTTAGTCTTTTCTCAGTTCATCTCCTATCTTACCTCTTTCCATTAAATTCTTAACCCCACCCCTGCCTTTTTCCCCCAATTATCAATTGTGATCCCACCTATCCTCAAGGTCTCTGACACTGGTCCACTTTTTAGTCTAGACCGCCTCCCCTAGGCAAGCCTGTATCAGTAACTATTACCCAGGTGAGATATTTTCTATGTCCAGTCTGCTGGACATCACAGGATATAAGGTTAACAGTCTAAACCAACTGAGAATAAGATCTGTACTTAACTTATATTTGAAGCCTCTCAAATATGTAACTTGTTCATGAGTACTAATAACAGTCATCTCAAATACAAGTTCACATGACAAAACCAAACTTTTCCTTAGATAAAGTCTATTCCACCAATGTCCTTTCAAATAAAGGAACCATAGTTTACTACTCATTGAGTATGGGAATCTTTCACTATACCTGCTTCTCCCCTCAAGGGCACCCCACCCCCAAAGCCCTAGCTCTTTCCTTCTTGGTACAAACTGGCCTAGTACCTTAACCAGTATCTAGTCATTCCTTCCTCAATGCATAGCTCATCTTGCTGTCTCAGTTATTTTTCTGAAAACAGATTTCTAATCATGTTTCTCTCTTATTCAAAAACCATTCATGCATTTTGTGTTTTGCTGTTTATGAAATAGTCTAAAATTCTCAGTCTATATTCAAAGCTCTTAAGCTACCCTCAGTTCCATTTCCATAGGTTCGGCCCCCTCCTCTGTCCTCTTCCTCTTCTGCTCTGTACATGTTATACTTTCACATCTTTGCTCCACTCTGCTCATGCTTTTCCTCTACTTATGTCATTTGTTCTTTTTTGTTATTCTATTACAGTTGTCCCAATTTTTCACCCTTTGCCCTCCTCCACCCAGCCTGTCCCCTTCATGTGTTCTCTTCTGTCATAAACCCACCTAAACGTCATATTTGCTGATGTCTCTATTTTTTAAATTTTTCTATTACCATTTGTCCCCTTTATTATACACCTCCCCCCATCAACCCCATGTGATGTCTTTCTTAATTCCTCTAATTAATACTTACCATCAACTTTGCTGGTCTCTTAGCAATTTGATTATGTATCTATTAATACACTTTCTGAAATCTTATACTTTTGTTACCCTCATTAAGTAAATACCTTCTTGCGTAAAGAATCCACGTATTAACCTCTCAGACTATGGAGATTCTTTGGAGTAATTTCTTAAACTCATAATCTTCACATCTTTAGTCATTTGAGATATTTGTAAGTATCAAAAACAACTGGAAACACTTTACAAAATACATATACTCCACTGACCATTCTGATACACTCTGGAGTAGGGGATGAGAACAGGTCAAGCTAATACACTTAGCAAAACCTCTCTCAGTGATTCTGATGCAGCCTAGATCTAATATTGCAGCGGATGGGTCCTAGCAAAGAATCGAAGCACAGGTATGCATTTAAGTATGCAAATGTAGTCACGAAGCTGTGTTGTATGAGAATAGGATGGGAAGAATACATAAAAAGTAAAAGTTGGCCCTCTGGCTGAGGGCCAACCAGAGTATTTTTCTCTGAGGGTGAAGAACTTATTTTTCGGTTATGCAAGGCTAGATCAGAATAGCATCACATGCAAGTGAAGAGATTCCACTTGCAAACGACGTTAATTGGAAGTGACTTTCAATGACAGTAAGGCTATACAAGTATTCTTTAATAACTTATGTACAATAAATGCAGCTTACGAATTTTTACTGCTCTAGATTGATCAGATTCAAAGATTTAGAACCCAAACTTAAAAAGAGTATCCCGATCTCCTCATTGGTAATAGGGTAATGGCTAAACTATGATGCCGGCTAACTACTAAGGCTCTAAAAGAGGCCTTGAAATTTGAAGAAACTGCAGAAACAATTTTTTACAGAAACAATTATAAAACTGACCTAAATTTCTCGCAAGAAGGCAAGCGTATTACTACCTATTTTCATTTATTGATGAAAAATCATTTTTAGAAAGCTCTTAAAAACAATGCACTCGAGGAAAAATAGACGTAGATGTAAACGGACTAGGGATATTACCATCTGAGCCAATAGAAAAAGCAAACCTACACTCCACGTATACTCTACTGCACGTCCAAGAGTCGGCAAGTATCCCCGCTCTGCATCCCACGTGCACACAATTCCCCAAGGAAACCTCACACCTTGTACCCTAACAACCGTCCTAACCAGGCGGGGTAGACCCCCCCCTCGCCCAACCCCCCGCCCCAGGTCAACCCAGACTGCTGCATGGGCGGAGATAAGACTATGGTAGGAAAAAAGCAGGAAAGAGGCCCCCAATAGAAAAAGTAGGGAGGCAGAGAAGGAGCACCACAGTCCCCAGGTGGGGCTAGAAGCACCTGGCCCTCGGGGTTCGGGTGACTGGCACGGGTCACGGACCTTTCTTAACAACACGCAACTGCAGTGCACCATGACTGCGGCTGGCCCGGATTCACCCCCGCGGACGGAGCAGCGCAGGTGGAACTGCGCGGCTTTCTCACGTCACCGTAGGACGCAGGCGCAGTTTTCTGCCGCGCGCTCCCGCGGGAAGAGCCACTGAGCCGTACGGTGTACGCGCACGGAGACAGGCGCATGCGCCATGTGAGGAGCCCGGCCAGGTTAAAAGGTATCTGTTTACGCGAAAGCAATCTAAAGCTAAGAAAACGTCGAGAGTGCTTGGCCCGGGCCATTCGGATGTAGCGGATATGCCTCAGGAATTAACTTTTTGAATGGAAACGTTTTGCGTTTAGCTGCTTCGTAGGAATTTGTATGCTAATTGAAGAAACCGTAAAGTACCTCAGTCTTTACCAAAGCAGAATGAAAAACGACAAAAACAGAACTCCGACGATAAAACCAAACTCGTGAAAGAATGACGGGAATTCAGCTGGGAAAGAAGGGCCTGAGAAAGCTGCTAGCTCACCGACAAGTTGACTGATCTCTAGCAAAAATTTCCAGGAGACAATTTAAAACTTGTGACACGTGTCAGGATCTGAGAATTGCGTCGTATTCAGTGGGGAAGGAAACTTGCAATTGTTTTGCCCCAGAATAGCTTCTTGGGAGTCGTGTAGCTGAGGGTTTTTATCGAATTGTCATCTGAAGCGCGCCTTTGACAGAATTAGAGGTTACCTTTCCCTAACCTGGCTTGGCGGGCGGGTCTGCCCAGCTCACCTTTCCTGGGCCCTTGCACAGTGAAAAATGCTCACAGCCATAGTGGGCGATCCTGCACTACACTGCCAGTCTTCAAGTCCTCCGTAACCACCAAAACTGTTAATTTCTACAAGCCTTTCCATCTTTTTACCCCTTGTTTATCGCAGTGATTCTTTGGAAATGCACGACGTGAAAACTGGCTTGAATCCTTTGCTGCCACTGATCCTCCCTCTTCCCCACCAGTCGATAAAGCTGTGATTGTCACTTAACCTGTAATGTTTCATTAATCAGGACATTAGGTCGTTAGCGTGTAGATGTTTAATCTTGAAACCATTTGCTGCCTTTTGGACACATGGCAAATGTCAAAATAGAATTGGGGCGAGCACCTTTTGACCCTAAACATTGACCATCGTGATTAAGTTAAATTAGAAAGCTAACAAATATGGATGCTTTCTACAGTGTTTGGTGTTGAAACTAGGATGAGATGATCGAAATAACAGTGTCTTATTATCATTTTTAAGTATCATTTTGGAGACTATTATTCCTCAGAAGCATCAAGCAAAAGCTTACTAACCTGCTGTTGTTTGGCTTTGCCTAATATTTTTTGGCACTGGAAATATTCAACTGTAGTTTTGTTAAAGAAACCAGGCACACAACAAACTTCGTGCATGAAATGAGACCTCCTTTCAGTATATGAGTTTAAAGGAAGCCCAAATAACACATGACAAAATGTAATCAACATTGACACTTGTGTTAATTTTGCAGTATAGCTTGATAAGAGTACATTGTGATGGAATTTCTTCTTTAACATTTTATAATCTTTCTCTTGCTTCTTATCTTTCTGTGGGTTCAAGAGCCTGTTGACTTGTGAAGGATTTGCTGCCTTCTTATGAGTTTGCTGGCTTGTTCTCTTGTGAAATTTCTTGCACATTTGAATATTGTGGAAGAAACAATAAAACTACACCATGAAAAAAACTAAAGATAAAAAAAATTGCTGCCTTTTGTATTATCATTTTTACTACTAGGTCTAATTATGTCAGAATTCTGTTAACCCCAATATATTTATTTATTTTCTAAGGTTTTATTTCTTATTGGTGAACACAAGACCACATTGTTTTCTTTCCCGTTTTATATATAAACATGATAACAGAAAATAAAATGTAAATGGGAAATTGATATGCAAAATCTCAAAGGAAAAATTACAATACTTTTCTTGAACAAAATATGGTCATGGCCTGAAGTATGTATTATAGCTCTGGTTACTAGGTAGTAGAAGAAACATGAGCCTGGAAATTGTCTCCTGTATCATGAATGTGTGGCTAAAATGAACATGAGGTGAAATGACCCAAGCTACTATCCAACCTGAAGCAGAAATCTTTATTAAAGAAAATACTACCACTTCTGCCATTGACAGGAGAGAATGCCTTCCCCATTGTTGCTCAGAAGATTAAAGTACAGCCAAACTATTAAACTTAGTGGCTCTAAAGAATTTTGCATGATAGTCCCAAATGAACCAGTGGCGTAACTCACAATGATTTAAAAAATGTTTAATATAAAATAGAGTTATTCTAATTTAAAACATTTTAAATAAGCACTTAATTTTGGAATAAATTTAAATTTACAGGAAAGATATAAAAGTAGCCCAAAGATTATCCATAGACCCCTTATTCAAGGCTAAACATCTCATATAAGCATTTGTGAAAACTAGGACAATAACATTGGTTCAATTCTAGTAACTAAACTACAGACTTCATTTCATCTCACTAGTATTTCAACTAACTATAACCTTTTTCTGTGCTAGGATCCACTCCTGGAAACTACATTACATTTAATCTAATAAACATTTTAGTATAATTATTTTAAGAATAAAATGAAGAAATATATAATTCAGAAATACAATATTTTATGATGTTAGACTGTCCATTTTGTCATCAGGCTAAAAGGAAAGTTGTCTAATTTGAGTCCCTCCTTTGTAGATTATCTAAATTGATCTTGAAGCCTTCTCACCTTCTTAATTAGAACTCCACTTTTTGTCTATCATACTTTGGTCCTGCTTGTCCAAGAGGAGTCGACATAAGTAGGTTAGAGAGACCATGAGTGAAACAGCAAAAGTAGAGTTTGTCATCAGTTTCACACCACTCTCTCTGCTCTTCATTTACTTTCTAGAAGTGACAGGGTCTTCCCCTCTGCACCAAAAACTCATTTCCCAGAACTCACCAGGGAACTCATAAAGTTGGCTTTTTTTCCCTGGTAGGCATCTTTAGTTTACTCTTTCTTTACGCTCACGTCAAAACTTACCCAGCCCATACTTTATTTTGAGTATATTAGCAAGGAGTGGTGAGCCAGTCTAACTAATTAATTGTGTCAAGATGTTTCTAGGTGACTCTGACCAATGTGGCTCTGTTGCTTGGACATCATCCTGCAAACCAAAGGTTCTGGTTTGATTCCCGGTTGGGGCACAGGCCTGGGTTGTGGGTTCTGTCCTCAACTGGCTGATCAGTGTTTCTCTCTCACATCAAAGTGTTTTTTTCCCCTCTCTTTCTCTTTCCCTCTAAAATTAAGTAAATAAGTCTTTTTAAAAAAAAAGATGTTTCTAGGTGGCATCATCATAATGTTACTCCTAGTAAAATTAATTGCCTACTAAACAGCTTGTAGTTACTTCAGTTAAAAGAAATAACTCTATTGCTGGAATTTTGGGGTTCCATGGCAGGTCAGTGGAAGAGATTTTTGGTGGACAGGCAGGTCTTTCAGCTCTGCTTAGGTCAGGGTTCATGTGACATAGAACACAGGCCTAACCCAGATGGAAAAGAAGATTAGGTGTGTGATGTGAATAAGCCTTTATAAGAAAGTATTTAAGTTTCTTTTTTATGAAATAATAACTGTATTCAAATTCCCAGGGAGTTTTCTATAAACACATAAATTAAAGTACATCACTACATGTAGAACCATACACATAATTTTGCTGTTCTACATTATTCACCCCATTTCTCTACATTAACATAGTTACTGAAGAGGTAAATGTTTTACCTCAGCATACGCTATAAGATTAACTTTTTGATACTCTTCACCATCTATAATTTTTGTTGTGAATATTATAGATCAGCAAGCAGTGATCATTAAACTGGGTTTACTAGTAGTTAGGAACAAAACGCTTCGTCCCTGCATTTCCTTTTCCAAAACAATTGCAGAGCCAAAACATTGAAATGATAGTTTTTACTGTTCATACCTCCCTTCTACACACCCCGCCCTCCCACATAATTACTACTTTTCTTACTGCTGGTGTTAAGTGTCTTCTGCCTTCCTCTCATATTGCCTGTGAAAACCGGATCTGAGGCATGGATTTGATACTTGTGTTTTACAAGTTGACATGATTTTAAGTCAGTGTGTTAATTCTCTCAGAGCATTTACTTTTTAGTTTTTATTTCTAACTGGGGAATAAATAACAGGCCTCAGCATCTACTGAAAGAATTTCAAGCTTTGGTGTAGGAGACCCTTCAGTGTGGGGAATATGTGGAAACAGAGGGAGTTTCTTGGTCTCCTTAATATAACACAACATCGCAACTTTCATTGCTTCCGTAAGATTCATTCTAACCTTAATTATTTTATTGATTCTATAACCTGTCATCAGGCCTTCACCAGCTTTCATATACAAAAAATAATCTAACCCAAGCTTTCCTTCACTGTAATCTTTTATACATAATGATCTCCAGAGGAGCTTTTTCCCCTTAAAGAACCGATTCAATCATATCACTGTATTCAAGATCCCTTATGGTCTCAGAATGGCTGCTGAGAATTCAGTGTTCCAGTCATTACATCCATGTTCCAGTTGGAAACATTTATGAAGTTGCTTTCTTAGAAGTTCCATTCTTATATCTTTTGCCACTTCAAACTTGAAAAGATATTTTTTAAAAGCTGGATAATTTGCCATCTCATTGAAGTGCCTACATCTCATCATTTTATATATATTTTAACAGGGTCCATTTGGCTCAGGCCTCGGACTCAGTATATAGTCTCTGAATATTTGTTAGTTAATTAATTTATTCTTAAGAAAGACAGTGGCTGGGTTGCTAACATATGACATGTGAATCACTTGAAGTGGGGCATAGAGTTATTTTCATTCATTAGCCTTATAATCCCCTAAAATAACATCAAATATTATTTTAGTTTCATGCTATTCAAAGTATTGTTACCCTGAGAACCATTATAAGTTGGGATCTTACACTATACAATTAAATCAAGTTCTAGACGAAGGTAAGTAGATTGAACACATGAGACCCACTGGTATATACCTGCTAAGCTCTTCAACTCTCTAAATTAAAATGCAGGCCTCAGGTCAAAGGGATGAGCAA